AAATAAATAAATAAATAAATAAATTCGTGTGGTTCTGTTTTGGCCGTATGATTGTATGATTGTTCCATACAAATCTTACCTTACCTATTTAATTCCTTTTCCATCCAAACTTTGCGTTAAATTTCCATTCCCTTTTAAACACCTATTCTACTCGAATCTTACTTTCAGATTCTATTACCAAACAAACTCCACTCAAATCTCTCCTATTCTAACTCTAAATCTTAGACTTAAAAGCTAGTCTCATCATCCATCACATCCCACGCCTTTTGAGAATCCCACATATCAAAAATTAATTGCCTTGTCTCTTCTTGCCTATACCCTACGCCGAAACCATCTCACCCTCCCATCTTCAACCTCTCACTCTTCCACCATTGCCAAACTTCACCAAGCTTCAACCATGGAAAATCCGTTCATCACCTATGCATCATCATCTGAGAGGGCTGATCTCTTCCGAAAAATAATAGATGACGATTCCCCACTATCTTCTGAAGCTACAGATCGCGTCCTTGCCGCTATCAAGAAAAATTTGGCTCTCCTTGAGGGTCTCACAGACAAAGAAAACCGGCAACTCCAAGCTCTTGCCCGACATATCATCACCGAACCATGGCCTGTTCTGCCTGAGACAGCCGCTGAGCTACCGCCTCCACTGGCCGAAACAGTGACAGCCTCTTCTCCACAAAAATTGGTATCTCCTTTGTCTTCTTATCCTTTAGAGGATATCCACTCGATATCCACATCTAGAAAAATAGATTTCAATGTTTCTATGCCTGGACAATTTTCTACCTTGCCTAGTGGTAATCTTGATGTTCATTCGTTGCCTCTGACTGGGATCCTTATGATCATTCTACTCACAATTTACCTAGAATTTTCTTCTCACCTATTGTCTCTGAAAATTTGATTGCTTTATCTGATTTTATGCATTCCTTACCTTCGAATTTTTCTATTCGAAATGTTGCTCAGCATATCTCTGCCTCTGTGTTACCCGTGTCTTGCTCTGCTTTCACTATACCCATAACCATTCCTGCCCCTCTATCCAAGCCGGAGCATGCTCATATCCCTGTATCACCTACCCATGACTCTTTCCCCATCATCATTGTGCCTCTGTCAAAATCTTCCCGGAAAGGAAAAGAAAAACTGTCTATTTCAGGTACTGTTGAGAAGAGAAAACTGTCTCATTTAGATGATGTGGAAACTGTGTCTGAAAGCAAGCAACAAAGAAGGGGGTCCACACTTCCACCTCGGATGACTAGGTCCCGAACTGTTGCTGAAACTCCAGCTGTATCTATTCCATCCGGTTCGAAATCAAAAGGGACCAAAAAGTCATATATACCCATTCTTCTATCTCCTGCGCTTTCATCCAAATGGAGGGTCCATGCCAACAGATATTTTATTCTAGAAAAATCAATCAATGTGGAGGAGTTGACTGAAAAATGCAACATCATCCCCATTCTACGAGAACAACATTTATTTGCCTCTCTTCAACACGTTGGGTCATATTCTGCTTGGTTAACTGTCGAATTTTACACCAACCTCACCATGGATACATTTACTGAAGGTTCGGCACATTTCCAACAGGTGTTTATTCGGGATAAGTGGTAGCCTTTTGGTCCGGCGGAAATTAATGCCTACTTGGAAACTCCAAATCATCAAGCCGTTCCCGATCCAAGTCCTCATTTATTGGCTGCGACTTTGACTCAAGAGTTTGAAGCTCACCACTGTTTACTCGGTTCTTCTCCGTCTTGCCTCGGCAAATTGGATACCGGCAGTCCGACATCATCTTGTCTCAAATCAGCTGGCGGCTTTACTCTACAAGATCAGAAACAGGCTCCCATTCAATCTTGGAGTTATTAATTTTTCGCACCTTATGTCCTTTTTGAAAAAGGGGGAGGCCAAAATTCATCTACCATATCCTAGTCTGATTTTTGGTGTTCTTCAGGATCATGGATTTAAGCCATATAAGGATGAAGTTGTAACTGCTCATGACAATGTTTATCAGTATGATGATCGTCTAACTCAGAAAGACCACTATGATGATCGTGTTTCACTCAATGTGCTCCCTGGCGTAGCTACAGCAACCCCACCAGTATCAGCTCCAGCCTCATTCGCTTACACAGTCTCGGCTTCTATTCCAGGTTCCCGGGCTGTCCCAAAGGAGCCTCAAACCCTTGTTGACCGTAGACAAATTGTGATCACTCTTGAAACCTCTATTGCACAGCTTCGGCACTCTGTAGCCTCTCAACAAGTGACTATATCCGGAATGGAAAAATTGCGTGATGCACAAATTCAAGAAATCACTCGCATGGAGGAGATTCATGCCCGGATTCTAGCTGATACCGGCCCTAGTTCTTCCGGTTCAGAAACTGAAGATGACGACGAAGATTCGGTTTCGGGCACCCCGTCTGCACGTTGATCTAATCCACTATATTGATGTTCACCTTGCTCGGTTTGTCATTTATTTGACAAAAAGGGTGAGTTTTTGGAGTAAGGGGGAGTTGTTTTGGTAAGTTGTTTTGGGAAAAAAAAAAAAAAGGCTCACTAAGTTAGGGAGAGTAGTAGTAGTTATGGTATATTTTGGGATGACTTTGGATCTGATGGCTGCAAATGGTTTGTTTTTGGACTACTACTCTTATGAACAAATATTATGGTAAATTCCTATCTTTGAATGTGTTATGGTTTAATGCTTACCAGCTTCTATTATGGGAAAAATTTTGATTTTTGTTCTATTTGTGTTTGTGGCTTTCTGGACTCTGTCTAAAGGATATTCAACAATCAAAGATCAGTGGTTTTTAATAAGTACACTGATGGCACGTGGTCCAAAGAGAGTTAAGTTTAATTTCTTTACGTTAAGTTTTGTTCAGTACTTATACTAAGGGTTTCAAATAAAACTAATTTGATTTTTGTTATATATATATTTTGCCCAAAGTATTAGATACTATAGTTTTACCAAATAAATTGCCAGAGGGGGAGATTATAAGTGTACAATTTTAGTACACATTAACCTTTATTGGCTAATTTATTTAGTTTCATTTTTATTAGATTTAAATTAGAATTAAGTTAGTTTAAATCTTTTTTGGACCACTTGCTATCACGTATAGTTAAATTGAATGGTTAGCATGCTTTGACAAATGAAAGGGAAGTCAGCAGTTTACTACAGTGAAGTCTTCAAACAAAAGTGTGTGGCTGTGGTTAATCGAAAAAGAAGGAAGGCTAATATTAAGGATCAAGGTGGTTGATTAAACTTTGTTATAAAAGGAAGTCACATCAATGAGGAAAGTTGCTGATTTGGAACTACTATTCTGAGTGCAAGCTTTCTCTACAAAGTTATCAAATTAAACGGCTTATATTATATATTTTATTAAGGGTTTTAATTCTGAGCTACATAACCTGTAGCTGGTTCTGCTGAAGCTTATCTTGAAGTTTGTTATGGCATGCACAGTTCAGTCCTGAATAGGTGTTAAGAAGGGCTGTAGTGGTAAAGGCTGAGAGCCATTTGTACTTACCTCTTGTAATACTCCTTGGTGAACATCTATAGTGGATTGGGCAGACGTGGGTTGCCCCGCAAACGTAGGAGAAGCGCTCTGAACTGCGTAACAATTCTCTTGTGTTATTGTTTTAATTTATGCTTTCAGCTTTTGTTATTTACATTTGTTTAACAAATCTAATTAATGAACGTAACTGTTGCATAACATAAAAACCAAGTAGAAATATAAGTTACATCTTGCATTCAAGATTCACGGTGCATTTTCAATAGTCGTGAACCAATTCTGCAAGTTTTAAAAGTCGTGAATTAAAGTTATCAGTGACACTAGTCGTGGGACTAAAACTGCAAAAAACTCCTTTGTAGCTTCTTCTTTTTAATTTTTTTCTTATTTAATTTTGTTATTAAATATTTAAAAATTTATGCAATGTATTTTTTAATGTAATATATAATTAATAACATATAATTTGAATTGAAATTTCATAGTTATCAATTAAATTAAATTTTGACATGTTTACAATTATAAATTTTAAAATCCACAAATAGTTAAAAGTAAAAAAAAAAAAAAAAGGATAAAGTACAAATAAGCCATTGAACTATTTGGAAAACAGCAATTAAGCCATCGAACTCAAATAACCCTCAAATAAGCCATTGAACCCGGTAAAAAAGAGCAAATAAGCCATTGGACCTTGAAAAAAAGAGCAATTAACATTTTTTACAGGTTAACTTCAGGTTTTTGCTGATTGGATTGCCAAATGTTTATTTTATTTACTTTTTTATTATTATTATTTTTATTAATATTATCCACTTTGATAGTATTATATTTTAAAATTATTATAATCAAAATAGTTTTGTCTTCTCGAGATTTGATTTATTTATTTATTAATATTTTTTCACTGGATCTTTTGTTAAAAAAATAATAAATAAATAAATTAGATCTAGACAAGACAAAACTATTTTGATTATAATTACTTTAAAATATATTACTATGTATGTGGATTATAATAAAAAAAAAAACGTAAATAAAATAAATGTTTGGCAATCCAGTAAGCAAAAACCTAGAGTTAACCTGTTAAAAATGTTCATTGCTCTTTTTTTCTGGGTTCAATGACTTATTTGGGAGTTATTTGAGTTCGATGGCTTAATTGCTTTTTCCCAAATAGTTCAGTGGCTTATTTGTACTTTATCCCTAAAAAAAACTCACTCACGTTACTCTTATAGCTAAATGCACAAGCATATTAAACAGGATAGAAAAAGCTGTCAACTGCACATAAATGTGCAACAAGGCAATATAAGGATTCATACTACCTATAGAAGTCATGCTATGTCACATTTTGTTAGTACTAGTAACCAGTAATATAATTAGTAAGTAAAAATGTTGTCTCACCAAGAAATTTTTGAAACTCACTGTTTCCTGGAGAAATCAAGAGTTCAAGACATCTATCAAATTTGGATGTAAACTCACTATTGCATATTTGCATCCAACTTCCCTGAATGCAGGTGCTGTAAAAGCATAAACAAGTACTGCACCGAAATTGTTATTAGATTGTAAAAATATAAAAATGCTTCTTTTGACACCCAACTACAGAGACCAGCCAGCCACAGAAAAAACTTGGCATGGTGCCACATTACCATTTTTATACACCTCACAAAAGAGATTCAATTACTAACTAGTCATCAAGATATCTATGTAAAAGTTGAAGCTACAAATATGTTTACCTACAAATGCCTGCCTACTCAAAAAAAAATAATAATAAAATAAAATAAAAAAAAATAAAAATAAAAAAAAATCTATACAAAAAGATATAAATCTTCAGAGATCATCCTTCATGCTGATCTTTATATTTTGAACCTTTATTGACAATTGCTGTTTATGGTCTTCTATATCCTTCAAAACTGAAAGGAGGTTTACACGGTAAACTTCACATCTTCTATTGGCGCAGTCTAATTCACAAGTAAGTTCATGGATCTTCCTGTCCACATCATCCTACAAAATTATGCATGTAGTTAGTTAGACAAAAATATACAAATAATATAGAGAACATCCATCCAACCAACCATTAAAATAGGACAGTAACACTGGTAGGAACATAAGAATTTATTCAAGCCATTTTTGACAACTGGAAGGAGGAAAATTTCCATCATCACATCCCGAGAAAGAATCACGACCTTATGCATCCAATTTCATTGATTACATACTAGCTAATGCCAAGTCACGGGGTAAATAGGGGTGGAGGATAACAGGCAATGAATAAATAGTGGTGGGGTTTAACAACCCTCAGGGTTACAGAAGGGAATGGCTCTGTGCTCCCATATTTGGCTTTCTTTTCTTCTACAGACTAGGACTTTATGGTGGCATTATAATCCCACTACTCTACTTAAGGAGAATCACCAACCCTATCCTCCCCCTAATCATCTCTTAGACCCTTGAACCTAGCAACCCTGAATTAGAACATTTGGTTCACATAATGAGAGCAAAGGAAACAGGAATGGGATTCTTTAAGTATTGAATAAAGAAAAAAAATAATATATATATATATATATATATATATAGAAGGAAAAATATTCCATAATTTGGTTAGGGCACCCTCAATGTGGAATATTGAGATTGCCACATCAAAGAGTATGTGGATACACTATACATCGGGGAGGGAATATATTTGGCCTGACTAACACTGGGGAGGGTGTCACTGACATTTTCCCCCCTTTTTGTTTTCCTCATTTGAAAGCAAGGAAATCTATGTAATATAAATATTTAGAAATATTCTAAGGTGCCAATACACCCAATATTCTCTCTCTCTCTCTCTCTCTCTCTGCAAGAAATAACCTGCTCAACCCCCTTTCTTCCTCTCTACTTCACCCTCTTCATAGCTATGAAGCTCAATTAATGGCTTCTAATCAAATGCTAATCATAATTGTACATGTACTATTACATCACAGAGTGGAATCCTTGTGCACATTATCCATTACAACAACAATAGAGCAACCTCAATAGTGAGGTTTTTAGGTTGGATTTTGTCATAGCCATGTAGGAGAGAGAGGGTAGAGGGAAGAATAAAAAAGCAAAAAAAAAAAAAAATGCTGACATGAAAATTTTTTTAAAATAATAATAACAATAACCATTTCACGCGCCTGCGACTCCTTTTCCTTTTTTTTTTTTTAATCTCTGCAAGTGGGTCTCATTAAAAACCCTTATTTGCAGTAAAAAAAAAAAAAAAAAAAAAACCCTAAAAAACTAACCTTTACATTTGTTAAAAACCAAGCACTAAGTTTTTTACTGTTCCAAAATCTAGGAAAAAACCCCTACTGGGGATGCCCTAACAGAGAGATGTTGAAATAAGGATCACATGAAGCACTGCTCCAAATGGGAAGGAATTTGGGCAAGAACTAAATAGCATTACTAATTTCATAAGGTTGTTAGGTGAACTTCCTTGATCTATTAAATGGTAATGAAGTTGTAATAATCTTTATTTGGCAAATTGGCAGCATCTAGACACTCTCAACAAGCACTTTTGCTAGTATGCTGCTAACTGCACGCACAGCTTCAGAAATGACAAGAAAACTGGACAATAACTGAAGAAATACCAACCTCAGAGAGTAGCTTTGTGAATGTTCCTTGCTGATCCTCAATGTTCAGATTCTCCTGGATACCATCAGAGATTGAGTCATCTTGGTTCCATCCATTCAACAAGGAGATCTTCCCATCATGTTTAGCAGCTAGAGAAACTTTTTTTGAAGCCTCACCTAAAGCAGCCATTGCTATGACATAAGAGGAAACTGATTCTGCCCCATCTTCCACAAACTTAAAAGCTTCATGCCGCAACATATTATATCGAACAGTATGTGATTCCAAATAGCCACTGAATGCATCAGCAACACGTTCCTCAAGTGTAACAGTACTCTTCGCATTCCTTGTCCATCGCTTCAAAATGTAATGAGAGGGAAGAGTAAGAACATTTGTCACTCTGAATACTGCCAATACATGCCTGCAAAGAAGACCTGAGAACTCAAACATCTGACAGCTGCATGTTGCTTTCATCTCAAGAACATTAAATCTAACGCAGTAAGCTTTATGATCTTCACCAAACTTTGCAACTTGGTATATGGTTACTCCTCCTTCATCCTCAACCTTGGTTGCCATGAAAGTGAGAGTGCCAACCAACTCCTCCTGAAATCTCATAAATATCTTCCTTGTGTAGACCTCCGATGCTTGTTTCTCCATAGGGGAGGGGGTCTTCAAAGCTGGAAGGGTATTCATAGTATCATAATCAGCTTTAACCTCTTTCTCATGGCGACTATCTAGAGCTTTTTCATACAGTTTGAAGAACTGATTTAGATTGGTTGATGCATTCACATATCCATCAAAATAAGAATTCATGCTATCACTGCGCTGAGTTATGGACATTTCTGCAAAAAATGTGTCACGCAGATATACAGGCACCCAATGACTACGATCTGAGTAGATGGCTTGAAGCCAATCATGATCTCTGAGCTCATACTTACTGACTAGAGAAAACCAACAGGATTCATACTCCTCTGTAGACTCTGTCAAGTTAACACACTTATGAAAGTCTGCTTCAAAATTTGGGTACTTTAGGAACACATGGGATAACTTCTCCTGGCATTTCTTGAATATATGCCATTTACAAAAACGGTGACGAGATTCTGGAAATACCTGCATAATGGCAGATCTAATCACTTCATCATGGTCTGTTGTGATTGAGACAGGTGGATTACCAAACATAGCCGCAAGCCAGGTCTTAAAAAGCCATATAAATGAAGCTTCTGATTCATTAATTAGGAATGCACAACCAAACAACACAGGCTGTCCATGATGGTTTACTCCAGTGAACGGTGCAAATGGCAATCTATATCTGTTTGACCTGTAAGTTGTGTCAAATGTAACAGTGTCTCCAAAATAATTGTAATTAGCTCTTGCCTTGTGATCAGCCCAGAAGACATTACCCGTAAACTGATCCTCATCACCCTGCACTGCAAAGAAGAAATCAGGGTTTTCAGCATCCATCTGCCTCAAATAATCCAGAAGGAGCTGTGTGTCACCTTCTAGGCTCTTCTGGCGATTATTCCTCATGTAATTCCTGCAGTCCACTTCTGTAAAGCCGACTTTGCTAATACCACCATACTCTTTGATAAGGGCAGACATAATCCTCCGAGGGCCCATGCCAGCAGCCTGCAAGGTGTCTATGAGGGTCTTGGCAGGGCCAGAGATTTGACGATGGGAGCGAAGACAGTGCACCTGGTCAGGGGGAACCAACTCGTGATTGTGTTCTTTGACAAAATTGGATACAACCCACTTGCCTGAATCCTGTATCTTGACAGAGAGGGCCGCCTTGCATCCAACCCGGGTAATTGTGCGAGGCCGCTTGATTTCTCGGTCCTTGGTGCGCTTCTCATTCAAATTGCGAAATCCCTCTTTAGAACAGACAAAGGATCTCTGTATGATGGCCCCATCCTTGCGGGAGCGGCGTGAGGAGCTGACGCGGGTGCTGAAACCAACACGGCGTGCATAAGAGTTGTAAAATGCCTTGGCAGCCTCTTCAGATTCAAATTCCATGCCCTCGAAAGGTTCAAGATCGAGGTCGCCAGTTGGAGTGTATATCCCACTGACAATAAGAGCATCACTACTATGTGCAGGAGAGCAGTTAGGCATGGTTTCAGCATCGTCCATATTTTCTAGAATAACATCCCCATCTCCATCTTCGCTCCCGCCTCCACCTCTGATGCCAATATCAAACTCAATTACTTGATTCTCCATCTTCACAAAGAAATTCAGTCTACAGAACAGCGTTCTGCTGAAAACAGCCACATGATAATAGTGATTATCAAATATGTCATCATGAATTTATTACAAAAACAAACAAATAAATAAGTGGGTGGGGGTGGGGGAATAAGCAGAGAAATAACCACTTATTTTAAACCTTTCCCGTTAGAAGCTGGAGGCATCTTTCACAAGATCCGTCAGAATTTTCTTCCCAGTTTCATTCAGTAATGCATTATTACAACTTTATAATTTATTTATTTATTAAAAAAAACATTCAGAAGAGATGCAAAAAGGGTAACATATGGAAATGAGTGAAGAGAATAAGGAGATCAGGAGATTCTACACGGCAAAAGAAATTTGTGTATGGCTGCCAGGACAGCAAAGGAGTTGAGGAAGATGGAGGGAGATGGATAGAATTAAGATGGACCTTTAATAGTATTTTTCATGTCTCAGCATATATTTAACTAATAAATCATATTTTCCCCTGATCTTTAGCAGTATATAAAAGTTCCCTATAACTTCTATGTTTCATTTATGATCCCTTCTAGACTGGCAGCATAAAAATTTTAATACCTTATGCCCCACACACCATATAAAGGGTTTTTTTACATATATGTTAGTATGTTACCCGTCCTAGACAATAATCAGAAGATTTTGAAGCCTAGACAAACATGAAAAACTACTTTTCAAAAATGAGTTTGAGTTAGCTCATGTCAGAAACATACAGCTATGTCAAAAACCAAATATATGTAAGACAATTAAAATAATTAAATGTTTTTTTAGGTCAAACGTATTTCCCAAATGCATTTGACCCTACATTTTTTTTTACCGTCCCTCTGTCTGGAAAGACTGGAATGCTTGAGTTTGATATTTGAGTTATAAATCAAAAATTTTGAACTCAAGCTCAAATGCATATCTGAAACGTGTTTGAGTTAAACAACCTAAAAGGCATTTCCTGCTCAACATAAAATTTTTCTACAAATTTATGTTGAGAAAATTTTACAATTTTTTACTAAAAACATAGTATAATTTGAAAATGCACATTCTATTAGTAGCAATTGTAACAGAAGCTAAATGTTTTTGTTTATAGCAAAATCAATAACTTTATCGAATCCTATATATTCAAAAGTGTTTTGTGGAAATTGATCCAAGATTTATCCATACATAATCACTTCAAGAATTAAGATAAATATTTACCTTTTGTCTATTAAATATGAAGGTTCCTCTATGGCAAGCCAACTACCAAACTTTAGTGTACAAGATCTGCAAAGAAAAGGAAAGAATAACATCAAAACTGTGTCCATGATTTTCAATGATCAAAAGCAGAAAAAGAATTGGATGTAGTAAATATCTGTTGAAATTATAAATGGCATAATCCAAATTTTAATTTAAAGTTATATAAATTGGCTTACATGAAATGAAGAATGAAAATTCCTTATGCATCATGATGTGGAAAATGAATACCCTCTAAACAATGATTAATATTATATGAATTCCTAAATTTATGACATGTCCATTCATTACTACCTATATTATTAATAGTTTGTATGAGTCTTTTTACTGATACAGTTAAACAAATGAGAAGATTGTGCAGTAATAGTTATAAAAATAAATAAATAAAAACAAAACAAAACAAAAACAAAAACAAAAACAACCACCAAAAAAAAAAGGAAGATTAATGAAAACTGAGAATAGTATTAAGTGGAATGTATAGTAGTAGTAGCAGATACAGAAAGAAAGAATATGAATAATACAGATCCGCAGGTGAATGCTTATAGCAAATGATGAAACTAAAAGATTGAAAAGATAAAGACTAATATCAATGTAGAATTTCCAAAGGTCAAAGCTTTGGGAAAATTTGCAGAATTTCACATCACATGATAGTGATATGATGTTCATTATACAAAGTAGCAGCAATAGCTCTCATCATCACCTACTTATGCCATCCCTGATCTGATGTACTTGTATGGTAATGTCGTAATGAGCAGCAGTGTATCTGCATCATATGTATGGCTAGTACCTCGAGTACTTATCTTTCTTCACTATTGAGTCGTACAACTGAGTTTCAAGCTCTAATCCCACCAATTTATCTCAATCAATAAGCAGAAGAAGATGGGAATTGAAAACCCCTACTTTTATTAAAGTCTTAATGAAATTCAATTTAGCTAGGGGATTGAAAATTTTTACTCTAAAGAAAGAAGAAAACTCCTCCTGATAAAGAAAGTGCACAACAGACATTAATTTTTATGATTCAAGAATTTAATTCCACTATCTTTTGGATACAATAACGAATAATGGAAAACAAATGCTGTAAAAAGATTACCTTTTTTGAGATGTTTTCAAACCTAGGCCTACTTATGAGAGAGATGCAAGGAGGAAGACATCAGCTCCTCCATAGCTAAGGGATCTAAGCTCGTTATAGTCCTCTCGTCCTGTAAGAATTGAAGTACTACCAAATATTTAATTGAGATATTATATATACACCAAGCAGTTATGGAAAATCATCTTTTAACAAAAATAACAGGATTGATCATGATGATGTCTGCATGGGCAAGCTAGGCCATCATTAGGAAGTTTGAACTTCTAAAATGTCAATGGAAATCTTACTCCACTAAAATAAATAAATAAATAAATAAAAAAGGAAGAAAATCATTTTCAAGATAAGTTTTCATCCTAGATGAAAGTAAGAATTTGAAACAGAGCTGAGCAATATGATCAGTAACTTCAATTCAAAATATGAAATCTCAAACCTCAAAGCTTAAAAGACTGATGAAGCTTTATCATTGTTTTCTAGAAACTGTAACTGGAACAATGAGAAATTACATGAAAAGGAAAACGAAATATTGAAATTTACCTAAATCACTACTACAGAATAGCATGGGCTACTCGGCTAGTACTCCGAGCCAACAAACGGAAGCAAACGAGCACTTAAAATTGTTCTTTTACGGAATATACTTGAGAGCAACTTTTATGAATGGGTGATTTTGTCATCCCCTCTGGCTCAAAACCCTAGCAAAGAGATTATAGAGTGGAGCGGAGATCTTTGAGACTACGAGTGAAACAAAATGAATTCAAGAAAAGAGGGAGTGGGGAGAGATGACCTGAGTTCTTACAATGCACCGTAGCCGCCGAGAGAAGAGAGATGATGACTGATCTGTGGGACACGGAGCGAGTTCGTTAGACAACGAGCGAAAGGGCGGAGAGGCGGAGATGAGAGAAAGAGAAGGGATCGAATGTAACCAAAAAAAAAAAAAAAAAAAAAAAAATTATTATTATTATTAGAGAAAATTTCAATTTTGGTCCATTGACCTTTGGAGTTGTGTTAATTGCAATAATTGACTTTCAAAAATGTTCATTTAGTACCTTGACTATGCAATTTCTATCAATTTTGGTCACGCCACCAAATTACCAGCGAATTATGATCAGAAAATTTAAATAGGTCAAATCATTAGGGTATTTTAGTCATTTTACAATCTTTTGTTTCTTCTCCAATCAACTTCTTCCCATTTCCGACTTCTCCGATCAGAAAACACCACCATGTGCGGCGACGGCGAAGAGAACATACATCGTACATTGACACTTCCCGCCGTTTTGCTACATCTTTGAATTCCTCTTCGTCATCTCCCATTTCCATTGTTTTGCTACATCTTTGAATTCCTCTTCGTCATCTCCAACAAGATCCAAGCTTTTCTGTGTCGGTTTCTGCCGCCATTTCCGGCGGCCATTGACACTTCCCGCCGGGAGTTTAAGGTGCAAGTCAGATTTTCTTTACTTTTTTTATTTGCTTTAATTGAGTGTTATTTATTGCTGCTATTATTGCGAAAAGGTTGGAAACTCCGTTTCTCTCCCTCTCTCAGTTTCAGAGCTGGGTCTGATCCGGTTTTATCAATTTCAGAGCATTCGGTATACAGTTTGCACACAACCCGTACGCTTGAGTTTCTCTGGCTGGATGTGGAGTTCGGGCTTGGGGCGGGCCACGGCTCACCGGCGGCGACTGCTGAAGACATGATTGTAGGGGTTCTGGTTACCGGGGTGTGGCTGGAGTCGAAGAGCTTCGACGATTCCGGCATGACAGATGTGCCGGCGAGGTGGCGCTGCCGGTGAAAATCCGCCGCATATTTGGACCCATGCGAGGTGGCGCTGCCGATGCGAATCCGCCGCAGATTTGGACCCATGCGAGGTGGCGCTGGCGGTGTGAATCCGTCGCAGATGTACCAAAGGTTCTCGCCGAGTGATTAGAGAAAGGAGGGGTTTAATTTTGGTCAACAATTGGCTTTTCCAAATTGAAAGGAACAAGAACAGACAATTTTACCCCTTCTAATTAGGTTTAAATTTTGACTTTAGATTTTCCGGTCATAATTCACCGGTAATTTGGCCGGCGTGACCAAAATTGATAGAAATTGCGTAGTCAAGGTACTAAATGAACATTTTTGAAAGTCAAGTGTTGCAATTAACACAACCCCAATAGTTAGTGGACTAAAATTGAAATTTTCTCTTATTATTATTAGGAAAATGGCGAGTAATGTTATTGACGACTCAGTTCCTGAGTTATGACCATATCTATTTTTAGCTCCTCAGTTATGAGCGAAGTGGCGCATTTGGTCACTGACCGTCAAAATTGATGAAAAAATTAAAAAGTATTTAAAATTTTAGGGGTAAAGTATGAATTCACATTTTATTTACTTTCTTATATTGAAATCAATATTGCAACACTATTTTCAACTTCCTAGCATTCTATTTTAAGGTTCTTCAATTCCAAAAGCAATTCCTCAATAATCTTCGTATGACTTGTTAGTAACCTGAGTCTCGTATAAGGAACCTGTGACTCAGTACAAACAAGAGAACACTTGATAATTGTCTTCAAGCGTGTAAAACACACCATCAAGTTTATGATTTCCCTAACTAAACGTAATGGTAATCAAACCATAACTTTTGAAATACAAAAAGATATCAAATTTCTCATAAGTTATTTTTAGAGTTAATTCCAGCAATGGTCCTCCGACTATATTGATTTTTCACAATTAGTCTCCGACTTTTAATTTCGACAATTTAGACACTTGACTTTCGAAATCTTTCCAATGTTGGTCCTTCCGTTAGTTGAAAGTTAAGTGAACGTTAGTTTGAGGGGTAAAGTAGTCATTCACTGTCTTTCTCCCTTTCATTGTATTCATTCTCTATCGGAAAATTATATGTCATGGGAAAGTAGCAAACTAGCAATGGCAACGGCTACGGGCACTGGAAAACCAGACAAAAATGGGTTGACTTCCACTTCATCCTAGAATTCGCCATAGATTACACCACCGGCACCGGCGGCAACTTGTCTCCGACTGACAGCAAGTTCAACATTTTTTGGGAAACCAACCACCTAAGCCCTGTAGACATCACCGCCATAAAGTCTCGTCACGGCAACGTCAAAGTCACCATCGACTACGAACAGATCTACGAACACTACGAACACTTCACGCAGTAGATCTACGAACACTACAAACACTTCACGCAGTAGATCTACGAACACTTCACACAGCAAATCTATGAACACTACGAACACTTCATGCATCGGAAAACTCGTCACACAACAGATCTAGGAGAGCGGTGCGATCTCCTTCACATCTATCGCGTCGTTCGAGGACGGCGGCGAAGTGGCCGAAAGTTACCGGGCAATGTGAAAAACGTTGTCTCATCCCTGACCGTCGTGATCGAGGAGTACAACGCGGACGGAATCGACATCGACTACGAACACTTCAAATCGACACCGGAGGAGTTTGTAGAATGCATCGAAAAACTCGTCACGCAGCAGATCTGGAAGGAGAGCGGCACGATTTACTTCTCGTCGATCACACCGTTCGAGGACGGCGGCGAAGTGGCCGGAAATTACCGGGCGATGTGGAGGAAATACGACGGCATGATTGACTACATGAACTTCCAATTCTACGCGTACGAGAAACTACAGTGGACAGATTTGTGCCGCCATTTTTGCCTGGTTTTCCAGTGGAGAATGAATAAGGGAGACAGACGGTGGATTATACTAAGCACATCAAATGACTATTTTATCCCTCAAACTAACATCTACTTAACCTTCAACTGACGGAAGGACTAATATTGGAAAGATTTCGAAAGTCAAGTGTCTAAATTGTCCAAATTAAAAGTCAAGGACCAATCAACATAGTCGGAGGACCATTGCTGGAATTTACTCTTATTTTTATGACAAATTCACAATGGAGTAACTTGAGATTTTTAGTACGTAAAATTCTTTCGTAAGCTCTGCAGTAACTTAATCAAGAATCGTATATCCTGCAATATATGAAAATTATATTATATATATACCCATCACTTTCTATGTCTTCTTAAAAATCAGAGTAATGAATGAGGAACCTGAGACTCAGTTATGAAAATTCTAAAAACTTTTGTAACTTCTAAAAATGATTATTGATTGTTGCATATGAAAAATTTTTACATACTAAATTCTCAATTTATCCCGTTGGTGAATTTATCATAAAAGCAACCTGAGAAATTTGACATCATTTTAAATCTCAAAAGTTTTGGTTTGATTACATTTGTTGCTTAGTAAAGAAAATTGAAAATTGATAGGATAGTGTATTTCACACATCTAAAGACAATGATCAAGTGTTTCATAATGTTGTGAAAGTGATTTTGATATAAGAAAGGGGAATAAAATGTGAATTTCCTACTTTACCCCTAAAATTTTAAATATTTTTAAAATTTTCCATTAGTTTTAACTATTGGGGACCAAATGCGTCAATTTGTTCATAACTGAGGAACTAAAAATGGATACTGTAACACCCCAATTTTCATATCCAAAATTTCCTTAAATTTTTTTTTTCTTAATTTACAATTTACTAAAATCATAGCGGAAGCATTAACTAATCAAAAGAAAATGGGTGTTACCGCCACACTTAGGCAACCAACAACCTAAGTGCTAAGGCTAAATTTACAATTTACAATAAACAACTCAAAATATGTACTGGTACAAAAACAACTAACAATTCAACTGTCTAACTAATAAATGATATCTCTAGGTGGTTCGCTCATTCTCATGCCCAATGCTCATGCAAGAGTTCCTGCAAAAACAATTAAAGAATAGTAAACAAAGAAACACAGAAATTCAGCATTAAGCTTGTAAGATCTACTTCACCCCGTAAAATATTTTGCACATAGCATGTAACACATAGGAGCAGATAGTTTGCATCTAGAATGATCCCTTAAACATTTTTATTCTCATCAACAAACCAATAATCTTTAACTTTAACCATTTAAAATACATATTGAGGAAATCACACATCCAAATACAAAAATATCCATAACAACTTCTAGCAAAACGACTAAGGCATTGCCTATCCATAATCCAAAAATCATTCAACCATTATTCTTTCCTCAAGATTCCCATATAACCTTTATCAACATTTCCATACACCCATAACCTCAAAATATTTCATAGCATCCTCATTACTCAATTTCTTTAAATCATAATCATAATATAATCACCAAAATAATTTCTAATAATAACCAAATAGAGTTTCCAAACTCTCAAAATAATAACCAAAGAGATAATTTCAATCTCTCAACATAACCTCAAAATAGTATTACCAAAGAGAGAATTCCAATCTCTCAATTTATCTCTTTCCAAGAGAACATCTTCCAATAATACATTTAAATTTCTCAAAATCAATCACACTTGATATATATAAATTGCCAAGAAGAAATGGGTACCAAATGGAGGATTTTCAAATTCTCAAAAAATAGATTTTCATAAACAGGAAGTTTTCACGGCTCCCTAGTGAGTCAGCTTTTACATCACTGCTCACTCCTCAAAAGAACAGGGAAGTTAATATAAAACCCCTAGTGAGTCAGTATATCTCAACTGCTCACTCCACAAAACAGAGAGTTTTTAGGCTCCCTAGTGAGTCGGTATATTCCAACCGCTCACTTCACAAAAACACCAGATGGCACCACTTTCCATTGACAAAATATATATATATATATATATATATATATATATATATATATATATATATATATATATATATATATATATCTAAAACCTCAAAAGTTCACCACTTAAATCTTTCCACCCAAATAATACTTTCAACTTTACACCTGAATCTATAACCTTTGTACCAATATTTCCAAAACTGTATTTCCAAACATCCTATTAACCTCATAGATATAACACAGATTAGCGTATTCCACACCTAATTATTATGAACACAACTCTCCATATTTATAAAAATGATAACAGTAATGATATTTCACAAGCAAGCAACTTCTCAATATCTCAAGTAAGAAACTGACAAAAATTTTCAGAAACTATGACTTGAATTGCAGAATTTACTGAGAAAAATCGGTAACAAATTTTCATATGAAATTTTCCAGATAAGTAGTAAAAAGAGTCTAGATTACACATAAAAAGTTTCAAGCCAATCCAAGGCCTAGAAATATTTTTCCCGAAATATTTCCCAACACAGCGTCAGACTGTAATTTATAATTTAACTGACAGAACACTGCCTCAACTTTACAAAATTATTCTGGAAAAACCTAAACATATTTTTAATCAAAACTTTTTACAAACATCAATTATATCAAGTCTAGATTCTGCAGAAAAAGTTTCAAGCAAAAATAAGTTTAGTAAGCATTTTTCACGAATTTTTCTTTCCAGATGCGCCAGTCAGAATTTTCTCAGGCAATGATCAAATTGAGTAAGATTTATCATTCTTAATCACCACAAAATCACCATATCACATATGCAGGGATTCCAAAACATCTAAACGCACGTATCTACTCACATAATATAATCAAATAACTTTCAACGTTAAATATCACAAATTCATTAAAATCATGAATCATAAACACATAGGAAAATTGATTTTTGATTTGGGGCAAAAGAAATTTTAGTGAACATAAATCTTACCTGGATTTCGAAATTAATAAAACCCTTGAATCGAATACATCGTAGGGAATAAACTCAAAGTGACGCCAAAATTGGAAAAGCATGAGGGTGTCGGCTGATGGTGAATTGGTGATGATGGCTAGGTTTTCTCCCTCTTTCTTATGAATATTACGCTCCAAGGAAACTTATGTATACGTATTAAATATGTGATTGCAGCGTGCGTGAGTTTAAACATAGATATACATACATATATTACAGTTGTGGCATGAGTAGTATTCTATACATGGATATACATACATATATTACAGTTGTGGCGTGAGTAGTATTCTATATATTAGCAGTGGTTTATATAATATAAAAACCTTAGTTTTAGTCGTGTACTGAAGTAAAACTTTAGGTTTATTTAATATATATAATAAAAACATATTAGTTTTAGAATTTCAAGATTAGTTATTACATTATATTAGTAATTAGTAATATGAGTTTAGGAAAATATTTAAACTATCTTCATTATTAGGAAAAGTATATGCCTTTACATATTATATCAGGATTAGGAAGCTATTAGGCTCAAAGAGTAATATTTCTACAATAATGTTGATTAGGAGACTCTAAATAATTTAGTCACGTACGCACGTACGGTCTTCGTACAGTGCCCAGGCAATATGGGGTATCACAGATACGGTCATAACTCAGGGATGAGTCGGAACTTGGGTATAACTCAGGGACCAAAGATGCAATTGTCCCTTATTATTATTATTATTATTATTATTATTATTATTATTATTATTATTATTATTATTATTATTATTATTAACTAGTATTTTCACCCGTGCGATGCATGGAATGGAATGTTGTAATATATTAAGAATATTTAAATCGATATATAATTATTTAAGAGTTAATTTCACCAGAGGTCGTTTATCTTTCCTGACAATTCCAAATTTAATCGTAGACTATAGTTATTAATTATTACAATTTATTCTATGTTACAACTCTTACGTTAATATTCTTACTATTATTATTAACACTTAATTACTTTTAGATATTATTATTACCACTTATATTATTATTATTATTATTATTATTATTATTATTATTATTATTATTATTATTATTATTATTATTATTAGTTTCTTTTCAAGTACTGTTAGTATATAATGGTCGTGAGGCACAATAATAATATAACCATAATTAAATATTCTTGTATTGTATACCGGAGTTAATGTCATTTTTGGTCCTAGACTTATTGAGGCACAATAATAATATAACCATAATTAAATTTCAGAATTTTGTTTTTTTATATATAGTATAGATTGTATTACACTATTTTATAATATTAGAATAGAATTTTAACTCAGAATTATTGTACGAATGGGAAAGTAGAAATCAATATATTTTATTAGGAAGAGAGATTTTTTAGGAATTAGGCGGGAAGATAAATTTGAGGATTTTATTTTTATATATAGTATAGATTGTATTACACTATTTTATAATAATATTATAATAGAATTTTAACGCAGAATTATTGTACGAATGGGAAAGTAGAAATCAATATATTTTATTAGGAAGAGAGATTTTTTAGGAATTGGGCGGAAAGTTAAAATTTGAGGATTTTGTTTTTATATATAGTATAGATTGTATTACACTATTTTATAATATTAGAATAGAATTTTAAAGCAGAATTATTGTACGAATGCGAAAGTAGAAATCAATATATTTTATTACAGAATTATTGTACGAATGCAAAAGTAGAAATCAATATATTTTATTAGGACAAGAGATTTTTTAGGAATTGCGTGGGAAGTTAAAATTTCAGGATTTTGTTTTTTATATATAGAGTATAGATTGTATTACACTATTTTATAATATTAGAATACAATTTTAATGCAGAATTATTGTACGAATGGGAAAGTAGAAATCAATATATTTTATTAGGAAGAGAGATTTTTTAGGAATTGGGCGGGAAGTTAAAATTTGAGGATTTTGTTTTTATATATAACTAGTATGATACCCGTGCGATGCACGGGGAACGACTTTTAAAATTCATGTTATACTGTGTTAATAAAATATTAGAAAAATTACATGAAAAGAATATAATCTACGACAAAATAAATTTCCAAGTATAATTGTTAGAATATAAAAAATGTATATAAAAAATAAATGTGTAGTTAGTGTAACATAAAAGAATAATTATCATTTGAATCTAAAGATAATGAATATTATAAATTATTAAATACTTTGTAAACCACATTAATGGTGGAAGTACATCCATGTTCTAACTCATTACAAATTAAAATCTTGAGACCTTGTGGATTACTAACTCTTGAGAGAGCAACATACAACTGACCATGTACAAACACGGGTTTCTTAAGTAACAAACCTACATGAGAAAGTGTTTATCATTGACTCTTATTTATGGTCATTGCATATGAGAGCGTTACCGGAAATTATCTTCTATTGAACTTGAATGGCAATCTAGGGTCCGAAGGAGTCATTGTCAATCTAGGTATTAAAACCCTGGTACCAATATGGTTACCTGACATTAGTTTGGCCTCTATGACATGTGCTGACAACCTGGTTACTATCAGCCTAGTTCCATTGCATAGACCAAGTGTGTGATCTATATTCCTCAATAACATCACAGGTGAACTCACCTTTAACGTCAAAGAATGGTTAGGAATGCCAGATACTCGCAACCCATTTAGGAACTCCGGTGTGTGCACATCCGCCAGAATGCCATTATTAGACTCAGTTCGACATACAGTGTCGCAACTAAGGTAAGTTCTGCTCTCTGCAACATGTATGTTACTCATGTATTCATTAATGGAATTAACAACATCAAGTGTAGGTGCCAAAATTGCACACTTTTCTAAAAAAGTGTTGTCACAAGTTCCATTCGTGAACATTGGGAATGTACTATCCACGATCGTGGCAATAGGGTCACCACTGTTTATTGAATTATCAATCCTTGCACCCATTGATGTGAAACAAAACATGCTATTATAAGATCTAATGTTTTCCAAAAAATGTTTTCTTTTATCCCCTGGTGTAAAGAATAAATCAAACAATTTTTTAGGGGGGACAGTAATAGTGGGCAATCCAATCTTGCCATGACCACAGCATGATGAGTATTTCGGACGTCCATTAACCCTAGACTGCTTTAAACGTTCATCAAACCAAAATAGTGCAGAACAATGTTCACAGCAATGAAGCGCGTCACCCAAATCAGCGTATTCATCTGCAAACATATAAAATACGGAATAATGTTTCTAATTGTGGTGACAAACATTAGTTGATGACAACTACTATACGAACACAAACTTAATGTATAATTAATAATCTTTACCAGAGTCGATGACTGTTACTGCAGCCTCTTCAAAATCTCTACTTAGGTCTCGAATGTGGAATGATGATGTATTACATTCTTGTGCACTAATTTTATTGGAAAGCTGGTTAAACTGACTTGAAGTATCAACATTACCTACAACATTTGAAGATACTTTGAATGAATTAATTATATTTAATTAAGAACAAAGTTTACAAATAAATTTAAAAAATATTAATTTTCTTACTGGTATTTTCTTCAACATTATTATTGTCCCTACATATCATCGTAGATAACCTAGATCGTGTATGCCGGATAGTTCGACTTGTCAAATTCACTGTAATATAAAATGACAATTAAGATATTAGTTCATAATAATGCCAGACGAAATTTTAATAATGTTGTTGTACATAATTACCATTTGTCACATCAGTTAGCGGTAAAGTAGAATATACATTATCTTGAGTTGTGCCTACAAGTGTTTCAAAAATAAATATATTTACATTCATATTTTAATCTCAACATGATTTATCTTGAGTTGCACCTGCAAGTTCTGAGAGCTAAAAACATTGTTTTCAAAATTGAAGATAACATTGATCATAACAAAATATTAATGTTATTCAGTATGTGAAATTAAGATAAATATATTTACAAACATTCATATTTTAATCTCACCATGATTATTAATAGTAACTGGAGTACTTTTACTATTAGTCCGAAATGACTTGCGGGTTCCTTCAACAAATGACGAATTATCATATGTACTTTTGATTGTTGTTTGAAAAAGCTCTACACCTGGAAAAATATCATATTTTTATCTTACTGTATTTGAAAACGTAGTATAAAATTAAAGAATAGAAAACTATACTAACCATTGGTCAACACACTGAAAGGAATAGATAGTGAACCTTGGAAAACTCCGTACACTAATGATGAACTTGAGCTGGCTCCTTTATTAAAAGATTCTGGAGAACAATTTTCTACACAAACAAAATAAATACAATTAAAAAAATTAAATGTAAATGAAAATAATTATTTAAATCAATACATATATATATATATATATATATATATATATATATATATATATATATATATATATATATATATATATATACATATATCCGATCAATCTTACCAGAACCGATCTGGTTATGAATTTACAACTCTACTTCAGAAAGTAATTTCTATTATATTTAAATAAACTAATCACATGTATTTAAACTCTTATTTCTACAGATCTTTGTAATCGGAACATGCATGTTTTATATCTGAACAAATCTGTGAACTATTATAGTGATAAAGATTAATAGACTATGAACTAACGTTTTTCATTCGATTGTACTTTCCTCTTGCTACCAATAAAAAAATAAAATTTAAATGCAAATAATTATTTAAATCAATACACATATATATATATATATATATATATATATATATATATATATATATATATATATATATATATATAGATTTTCTACCAGATTTTCTTATTTTTTTTGCCATATCTATTTAGTTCTAGAACACACCACCCACTTCTTCCTCACTTTTTTCATTACTCCTCCAGATCTCTGTCATCCGATCCTACCAGATTTCCTTATTTTTTTGCCATATCTATTTAGTTCTAGAACACTCCACCCACTTCTTCCTCACTTTTTTCATTACTCCTCCAAATCTCTGTCATCTTCATAGCTTTTTTCAGTACTCCGCCTCCCTCATCTTCATAGCGATTGTACTCTAGAAGCTATCTCATGAGTCTCTTCATCTCACATTTAGCCTCACATTTAATCTGAGTACTCTCAATCGCAGGCTAACTCGACGAAGCTATGTCTCGGACTACCAACAGCCGGAAAATGTACTCACTATACTCAGAAACTAAAATTTCAGTTTGATCTAAAATTCTATTACAGTTTATTTCTTCGATATTATATTTCCTTCATCTCGATCTGGTTATGAATTTACAACTCTACTTCAGAAAGTAACTTCTATTAGATTTAAATAAACTAAACACGTGTATTTAAACTCTTATTTCTACAGATCTTTGTAATGTTATCGGAACATGCATGTTTTATATCTGAACAGATCTGTGAACTATTACAGTAATAAAGATTAATAGACTGTGAACTAACCTTTTCCATTCGATTGTACTTTCCTCTTGCTACAAATAACCGTTGATGTTGTTATCTTCTTCATATTCGCTGATGCTTGTGTATAGAAAAGCAATAATCATTTGAAAAGTAAAACTTAGAAATAGTTAAACTCAGGTCTGTATAATGGATGGTAATATGTATTTATAGCCTGGAAGAATGTAGATAATAATGTTGGCTATTTAATAATTCCACTTGAGTTCCATCTGATGCTTCGAAAGAAGTTTTTATTTCGAAACATGGAACAGTCACTGTAAAAGCTGAGTGGAATATCTAGGATTTTGCATAAATATAGGCTTTTACCAAACGTTGTCGTATTGCTTGGGCGGGAATTGGAGCCATTTTTTTGTGGGCAACACATCTGGCTTTATTATAGATAAGATATATAGATTGTGTTACACTATTTTATAATATTAGAATAGAATTTTAACGCAGAATTATTGTACGAATGAGAAAGTAGAAATCAATATATTTTTTTAGGAAGAGAGATTTTTTAGGAATTGGGCGGAAAGTTAAAATTTGAGGATTTTGTTTATTGGGCGGGAAGTTAAAATTTCAGGATTTTGTTTTTTATATATAGTATAGATTGTATTACACTATACTAGTATTTTCGCCCGTGCGATGCACGGGATGGATTTGTTATAATATATTAAAAATATTTAGATTGATATATAATTATTTAAATTAGAACATCAAATATTATACAGTGCAATTGAAGATATGTTTTGGATTATTTATGTGTTTTGATGTTATCATTGTTTGAATTTGAGCAAATAATTGCTCAAATTAATAGTTAATGTGTAGATGTACGCATGCGATGCTGTAACTTTGAATATTTTATTTATCATTGTTTAGTATTTTTTTTTATAAATTAGGAAAATATGTTCGTTCTCTAGCAACTCATTATATGAATGAATTGCTATCTTAATTCATTTGTATGGAATATATATATATATATATATATATATATATATATATATATATATATATATATATATATATATATATATATATATTTGTCTAGATATATATATTTGTCTAGATATATAGCAATTTTGTCATTTAAAAAAATATAATATCAACGATTGTATTTACACATTATTAAAATATGTTTGTAGATAACATTGGTTGTAGCAACGCAATCTTGTCCATCATCGTATATAGTTAACACCTTCAGTCCATCAAGATAGGTGACTCGGGTGAAAATATATAATGGTAGAGTATTATTCAATTAGCGATCCTTTTATATTTTAAGTCAATTAGTAATATCAAATTCATTTTCAGCAAATTATTCTTTTTAGTCAATTAGAATATCATATGCAGTGATATGTTTACCTAATTTTCGTTCAATTTTTAATTGATGATGTATAATATTATTATTGAAATATTTACGTTCCATTTTTAATTTATCTTTAATATTGTGTAAAATATGCATTTACTATTTATGATGTAGAAATATTATTGAAATATTTCCGTCAAATTTTAGTTTCCGTTCCATTTTTAATTAAAATGCAATGATCAAACCATTTATTTTTTTTCATATTAATCAATTATGAATTATTTTTTATTTGCAGTCAACTATTAGTATTCATTTCTTTTTATATTTTCAGTCAATTTGTAATGTCATATTCATTTTCAACCACTTATTCTTTTTTTATTTTATTTTATTTTCATTCAATTAGTCAATTAGAATATCAGATGCAATGATATTTTTACCTAATTTTCATTCCATTTTTAATTGATGATGTAGAATATTATTATTTAAATATTCCGGTTTCATTTTTAATTTTTGTTTCATTTTTAATTACCTTTACTATTGTTTAAAATATGCATTTACTATTTATGATGTAGAATATTATCATGTAAATATTTTATTTTTATTTTTAATTTACTTTTACTTGATGATGTAGAATATTATTATTAAAATATTTTCGTTCTATTTTTAATTTCAATTTCATTGTTTAAAATTGTGAAAGATTTATGACATAATTGTGATTTGATGTATTATACTGTATAACATTATTGTGAAAAATTAAAATGCAATGATCTGAACATTTCCTTTTTTCATTTTAGTCAATTATGGATCATTTTTATTTTCATTCAATTATTAATATTCATTTCCTTTTCCAATTAACCTAACTTCAATTCCTTTTTTTCATTTTTAATTTTCAGTAAATTATTAATATTCATTTCTTTTTCCAATTTACCTAATTTCCATTCCATTTTTAATTGATGATGTAGAATATTATTGTGAAATATTTATGTTCCTTTTTTCATTCTTTTTTTAATTTACCTTTACTATTTACTATTGTTTGGACAGGAAATCAAATAAATAAGATTTTGTTTTTAACTATAGTATAGATTTGACCGTGAGGTTGTAACATATATATATATATATATATATATATATATATATATATATATATATATATATATATATATATATATATATATATATATATATATATATATATATATATATATATATAATGAATTGGTTATATTATAAATTGTTTAAATTTGTTATATAGGGTATTATGTTATGTGAGAGCATTGAGTATGGAAACAATATTACCAAGATTTTAGTTGATTTCTACTTTATATTTGCTTACAAAATAAGTTGTATTAAATTAGTCGGTGATAAACATCCAAAAATTTTACACGGTAATACCATACATAATATTACCAATTATGCTATTACGTTATTACCTAATTAATCAATGTCTTTTCTACACGATATTATAAATACGTAAAAAAAAATACGGAGAATTTGCAAACAATAATGTTACAAAAAATATTATTATATTATAGAATGTAACTAATATATCTGGAAGTAAAATTTGAGCTCTAAGATCATATAGGGCACTCTTTGATCTTAAATCAATAAATAATTAGTTATATACACATTTAGCGGTACCAATGTCATTACTAATACTTTATATATATCTGCAGTATTGAACCTTTAATGTGAGATAAGAAAGAAATAATCAGTTAAATGATGCATTGATTTAGATGCACTAAGACTATTACAATGCTCCATCACTTTGCAAACATGTACAACTTTGGCTTTATTTTATACTTTAAATTATACTTTGCTTATCCTTTAAATTTTAATGTATTATTTTAAGCTAATTTATTTATTAACATTAAAAAAAATACATTTTAAAGTGTGACAATTTATATTAATAAATCATTTTAAAAAGTGGCAAAAGATGATTTTCTAATTTGATGCCACTACATCAATTTTTTTTAAAAAAAATTATTGCCATTGTTTACCTCAATCATCTCATAAATATCCATAACTTTTATTAGAGGGGTCTAATCAACACATAAACTGAAAAAAATGACAATCATAAACAAAATATGTACAAAAATAAATGATAAAAACATTATGATAATGATTAAGACATACTAAATTTACCTTTCCAAAAAATCACAAAACTCTGAAAATCCTGATTGAAAAGGAGCTGTGTATCAAGAGTTACATATCTTGACATAACTGGCTAATAAAAAAGAACATTCATTACTTGTCCTTATTCAAACACTTTCAAATATAAAGAAAAATTAAAATACTTGTGTTTAGATTAACTCTTCGTATCATTTTTAACTCTACACAATTGCATAAGAACAACCATAGGATTTGCAAGGCAGAATTTAAAAAAAAAAAAAAAAGTTTCAACTCTTGGCCTTGGTATATGTTGATTCCACACTGTAGCTTTCAATTGATTGTCCCTATAAACAAATAAACTACGGAGTTCTTAATAAAAAATACATATATAAAATACAATAAAAATAACAAAATTAGATAATTTACTTTGTATCCACGTACAATTAGAAAATCAATAAGTTAAGAAAGCTTCCCTGCAATGATCTTATCCAATGGGGAGTATATCTCAACGACCCTACCAATAACGTCAAACATGATAATAAAAAAAAAAATTCAGATGTAGATTAAAATTGTAAATGAAACTTACCAACGAATTGTTTATCATCTACAGACTTCAAAGAATATGAAAATGATTTCAATAAATAAATTTGTCTAGAAAAGTTGTCATTTTTTTTTTATATTCTTTAACCAAAGTACCATAGTGAAATTACAACATAAAATAATGAGTGCACTTTTTGAAAATATAGAAAATACTTATCACCATAAAATTTTTAATGGCATAAACTTTTCATTGTTTGAAAAGCTTACAATACTTACCAACATGTTCCCTTGGTATATGAGCATGGAGTTTCCTACAATGAAGTAAAAAAGAAAAGTGTTATTTTATAATTTATTTTTGCAGTATAGGAAGCAGCTTTGTAATGCATCTTTTTTCCAATTTCATATACAACACGAGTTCTAGAAAAAAGCAAAATCGAAAAAAATACTATTTGATCGAGAAATATGCACTCTCTAGATTTTACGGAATCACTCCCCTTTCTCTATGGGACTTCATATAGGTGCACACCAATCACCATCTAATAGCTTTGAAAGTCTTCAATGGAGAAATATCCTAGGCAAGAATAAACATTGGAGTCGTATAAAAAAAGCAAAATTGAAAAAAACAATACCACTTGATCGTGAAGAGATGCACTCTCTAGATTTTATGGATTCACTCCCCTTTCTCTATGGGACTTCATATAGGTGCGCACCAATTGCAGTCTAATAGCTCTGCAAGTCTTCAATGGAGAAATATCCTGGGCAAGAATAAACATTGGAGCCGTAACAGTTGTATGTTAGTATACATATCTACTAGTATTTTCGCCCGTGCGATGCACGGGATAGATTTGTTATAATATATTAAAAATATTTGGATTGATATATAATTATTTAAATTAGAACATTAAATATTATACAGTGCAATGGAAGATATGTTTTGAATTATTTATGTGTTTTGATGTTATCATTGTTTGAATTTGAGCAAATAATTGCTCAAATTAATAGCTTATGTGTAAATGTACGCATGCGATGCTGTAACTTTGGAGATTTTATTTATCATTGTTTAGTATTTTTTTTTTATATAAATTAGGCAAATGTGTTCGTTCTCTAGCAACTCAGTTATATGAATGAATTGCTATCTTAATTCAATTGTATGGAATATATATATATTTTTGTTTAGATATATAGCAATTTTGCCATTTAAAAAAAAACATAATATCAACGATTGTATTTACACATTATTGAAACCCGTTTGTAGATGACATCGGTTGTAGCAACGCAATCCTGTCCATCATCGTATAGAGCTAACACCTTCAGTCTTTCAGGATAGGTGACTCGGGTGAAAATATATAATGGTAGAGTATTAGTCAATTAGCGATCCTTTTATATTTTAAGTCAATTAGTAATATCAAATTCATTTTCAGCAAATTATTCTTTTATATTTTTAGTCAATTAGTAATTAGAATATCATATGCAGTGATATTTTTACCTAATTTTTGTTCAATTTTTAATTAATGATGTATAATATTATTATTGAAATATTTACGTTCCATTTTTAATTTATCTTTAATATTTTTTAAAATATGCATTTACTATTCATGATGTAGAATTATTATTGAAATATTTCCGTCAAATTTTAGTTTCCGTTCCATTTTTAATTAAAATGCAATGATCAAACCATTTATTTTTTTCATATTAATCAATTATGGATCATTTTTTATTTGCAGTCAACTATTAGTATTCATTTCTTTTTATATTTTCAGTCAATTTGTAATGCCATATTCATTTTCAGCCAATTATTCTTTTTTTTTTTAATTTTCATTCAATTAGTCAATTAGAATATCAGATACGGTGATATTTTTACCTAATTTTCGTTCTATTTTTAATTGATGATGTAGAATATTATTATTGAAATATTCCGGTTTCATTTTTAATTTACCTTTACTATTATTTAAAATATGCATTTACTATTGATGATGTAGAATATTATTATTTAAATATTTCCTTTTCATTTTTAATTTACTTTTACTTGATGATGTAGAATATTATTATTAAAATATTTTTGTTCTATTTTTAATTTTCATTTCATTGTTTAAAATTGTGAAAGATTATGACATAATTGTGATTTGATGTATTATACTGTATAATATTATTGTGAAAATTAAAATGCAATGATCTGACCATTTCCTTTTCCATTTTAGTCAATTATGGATCATTTTTATTTTCAGTCAATTATTAATATTCATTTCGTTTTCCAATTAACCTAACTTCAATTCTTTTTTTTTTTCATTTTTAATTTTCAGTAAATTATTAATATTCATTTCTTTTTCCAATTTACCTAATTTTCATTCCATTTTTAATTGATGATGTAGAATATTATTGTGAAATATTTATGTTCCTTTTTTTTATTTTTTTTTTAATTTACCTTTACTATTTACTATTGTTTGGACAGGAAATCAAGTAAATATGATTTTGTTTTTAATTATAGTATAGATTTGACCGTGAGGTTGTAACATACATATATGATGAATTGGCTATATTATAAATTGTTTAAATTTGTTATATAGGGTATTATGTTACGTGAGAGCATTGAATATGGAAACAATATTACTAAGATTTTAGTTGATTTCTACTTTACATTTGCTTACAAAATAAGTTGTATTAAATTAGTTGATGATAAAATCTAAAAATTCTACACGGTAATACCATACATAATATTACCAATTATGCTATTATGTTATTACCTAATTAATTAATGTCTTTTCTACACGTTATTATAAATATATAAAAAAAAAATACGGAGAATTTGCAAACAATAATGTTACCAAAAATATTATTATATTAAAGAATATAATTAATATATCTGGAAGATCATATAGTGCACTCTTTGATCTTAAATCAATAAATAATTAGTTATATACACATTTAGCAGTACCAATGTTATTACTAATACTTTATATATATCTGCAGTATTGAACCTTTAGTGTGAGATAAGAAAGAAATAATCAGTTAAATGATGCCTTTATTTGGATGCACTAAGACTATTAGAGTGCTCCATCACTTTGCAAACATGTACAACTTTGGCTTTATTTTATACTTTAAATTATACTTTGCTTATCCTTTAGATTTTAATGTATTATTTTAAGCTAATTTATTTATTAACATTAAAAATACATTTTAAAGTGTGACAATTTATACTAATAAATCATTTTAAAAAGTGGCAAAAGATGATTTTCTTATTTGTTGCCACTGCATCAATTTAAAAAAAAAAAAAATTGTTGCTATTGTTTACCTCGATCATCTCATAAATATCCATAATTTTTATTAGAGGGGTCTAATCAACACATAAACTGAAAAAAAAAAATGACAATCATAAACAAAATATGTACAAAAATAAATGATAAAAACCTTATGATAATGATTAAGACATAATAAATTTACATTTCCAAAAAATCACAAAACTCTGGAAATCCTTATTGGGACTCTATGCATATGAGTCTGTTTAGAACTTCTTATCCTTGTCACACTGTGACTCTCTACTTCTTATCATTGTCACACTGTGACTCTCTATTCTATACATTCACATCATCTGATCTCATTGTAATTAAGTTCAGAAAATATAATACAATCAGTTCTCATCTGGTATCAGTTAGCTAGGGTTTTGTGATTCATAAAATTAAGAAGATGCAGCGCTGCGATGGCAACCTTAATTACCGTGGAGGTCAGCAACGTGGCTTCGATGATCCGTGTCAAATCTGTAAAGGTTTCGGCCACACAGCAGTCAATTGTTTTTGGCGCTATGATGATCCGTGTCAAATTTGTAAACGTTTTGGTCACACGGGAGCCAATTGTTTTAAAACGGGCTGGAATGTCTGAATGCAAACCCCTTTCTACACCTATCTCTGTCTCGAAAACTGTCCCCTTCAATTCAGATCTATATGATGATCCCACACAGTACAGGAGTCTAGCTGGAGCACTGCAATATCTCACTGTCACACGACCTAACCTATCCTTTGCAGTTAATCAGTTATGCCAGCATATGCATGCCCCCACCATATCACACTGGGAGCAGCTCAAACGGGTACTCAGGTATGTTAAGGGAACAGTTGATCATGGTTTACGCATACGACGGTGCTCATCTAGAGACATTCATGCTTTCTCTGATTCTGATTGGGCTGGTTGTCCTGACGATCGAAAATCCACGAGTGGTTTTGCTGTTTTCTTGGGGAGTAATCTTATATCATGGGTTTGCAAGAAACAGAGAACTGTTGCCAGGTCATCCACTGAGGCTGAATACAAAGCTCTTGCAGATGTTTGTGCTGAGGTTCTATGGATTATGTCATTATTGCGTGAGATACAGATTCCGGGTATTTCCATTCCAAAATTATGGTGTGATAATCTAGGAGCTACATATATGAGTGTCAATCCAATCTTTCATGCGCGCACCAAGCATGTGGAGATTGATTATCATTTTGTTCGTGATCGAGTAGCTTCGGGCGATATCCAAGTCAACTTCATCTCCACAAAGGATCAACTTGCTGATATCTTCACCAAAGCTCTGCCTGGACCTAGATTTTCTTCCTTAAGGGACAAGCTACAGGTTACTAGTATACACTGTGCTTGAGGGGGAGTATTAGGACTCTATGTATATGAGTCTATTTAGAACTTCTTATCCTTGTCACACTGTGACTCTCTACTTCTTATCATTGTCACACTGTGACTCTCTATTCTATATATTCACATCATCTGATCTCATTGTAATTAAGTTCAGAAAATATAATACAATCAGTTCTCATCATCCTGATTGAAAAGGAACTGTGTATCAAGAGTTATATATCTTGACATGCTAATCAAAAAGAACATTCATTACTTGTCCTTATTCAAACACTTTCAAATATAAAGAAAAATGAAAACACTTGTGTTTAGATTAACTCTTCGTATCATTCTTAACTCTACACAATTGCATAAGAACAACCATAGGATTTGCAAGGCCAAAATTTAAAAATAAATAAATAAATAAATAAATACGGTTTCAACTCTTGGCCTTGGTATATGTTGATCCCACACTGTAGCTTTCAATTGATTGTCCCTATAAACAAATAAACTACGGAGTACTTAATAAAAAATACATATATACAAAATACAATAAAAATAACAAAATTAGATAATTTACTTTGTATCCACATACAATTAGAAAATCAATAAGTTAAGAAGGCTTCCCTGCAATGATTTTATCCAATGGGGAGTATATCTCAACGACCCTACCAATAACGTCAAACATGTTAATAAAAAAAAAAAATTCAGATGTAGATTAAAATTGTAAATGAAACTTACCAACGAATTGTTTATTATCTACAAACTTCAAAGATGAAAATGATTTCAATAAATAAATTTGTCTAGAAAAGTTGTCATTTTTTTTATATATTATTTAACCAAAGTAGCATAGTGAAATTACAACATAAAATAATGAGTGCATTTTTTGAAAATATAGAAATTACTTATCACCATAAAATTTTTAATAGCATAAACTTTTCATTGTTTGAAAAGCTTACGGTACTTACCAACATGTTCCCTTGGTATATGAGCATGAAGTTCCCTACAATGAAGTAAAAAAGAAAATTGTTATTTTGTAATTTATTTTTGCAGTATAGGAAGCAGCTTTGTAATGCATCTTTTTTTCCAATTTCATATACAACACGAGTTCTAGAAAAAAGCAAAATCGAAAAAAATACCATTTGATAGGAAAATGTGCACTCTCTAGATTTTATGAAATCACCCCCTTTTCTCTATGGGACTTCATATAGGTGCACACCAATCACTATCTAATAGCTCTGAAAGTCTTCAATGGAGAAATATCCTAGGCAAGAATAAACATTGGAGTCGTATAAAAAAGCAAAATTGAAAGAAAAAAAAAAAAAAACCTCTTGATCGTGAAACATGCACTCTCTAGATTTTACGGATTCACTCCCCTTTCTCTATGTGACTTCATATAGGTGCGCATCAATTGCAGTCTAACAGCTCTGCAAGTCTTCAATGGAGAAATATTCTGGGCAAGAATAAACATTGAAACCGTAATAGTTGTATGTTAGTATACATATCTATATCTCTATATATAATTACTCAATATAAAAGAATGAATAAATGAATATAAGGAAAAAATATTATCAATTAATAGATTTACCAATTAGGTTAATACGTGAATATGGAAACAATATTATCAATTAATAAATTTTAATTAATTTCTATTTTACATTTGGTTACCAAATAAGTTTTACAACAAAAGTTTAAGCGGGAAAATGAAATAAGAGGATTTTACTTATTTATATATATATATATATATATATATATATATATATATATATATATATATATATATACTTACTCAATATAAAAGAATGAATAAATAAATATAAGGAAATTTTTTTACCAATTAATAAATTTACCAAATAGGTTAATACATGAATATGGAAACAATATTATCAATTAATAGATTTTAATTAATTTCTATTTTACATTTAGTTACCAAATAAGTTTTACTACAAAAGTTTGGACGGGAAAATGAAATAGGAGAATTTTACTTATATATATATATATATATATATATATATATATATATATATATATATATATATATATATATAGAATAGATATAGATTATAATATTAGAATAGAATTTTAAAACAGAATTATTTTACGAATGGGAAAGTAGAAATCAATATATTTTATTAGGATTTTTTTTAGGAATTGTGCAGGAAGTTAAAATTTCAGGATTTTATTTTTTATATATAGTATAGATAGTATAGATTGTATTACACTATATTATAATATTAGAATAGAATTTTAATGCAGAATTATTGTACAAATGGGAAAGTAGAAATCAATATATTTTATTAGGAAGAGAGATTTTTTAAGAATTGGGCGGGAAGTTAAAATTTCAGGATTTTGTTTTTTATATATAGTATAGATAGTATAGATTGTATTACACTATTTTATAATATTAGAATACAATTTTAATTCAAAATTATTGTGCGAATTGGAAAGTAGAAATCAATATCAATATATTTTATTAGGAAGAGAGATTTTTTAGGAATTAGGCGGGAAGTTAAAATTTGAGGATTTTGTTTTTATATATAGTATAGATTATTAATAATTATTATATTATTATATTATTATTTATGAATAAGTTATAAAACATATTTAATTTTGTATAAAGAGTAAATATCAATTTTGGTCCCTAGACTATCATAACTGAAGCACTTTTGGTCCTTGACTATTGCTTTTTTCAAATTAGGTGCATGACTTTATAACTAATATCACTTTTGATCCTCAACTCCAATTTTTCGATTACATATTACCAAAATTCCAACTGAAAAAATATTGTATTATAATTAGAAGGGTATTTTGATCCTTTCAAATTTATTTCATTCTTCTTTTTATTTTTTTTCTTCTCCCCAATTTCTTCCTCAGTTCTCCCGTCTTTCTCTATTTGTCTAAGAAGATAATCCAAGCTTCAATTGATTCTTCTTCTCCATTTCTTGTATTTCTCGCGTGAACGGTAATGACAAATCTATTAGAATCTGGGATGATCCTTGGCTCCCTTCACAGTAGTCGCATTTCATTCAAACTCCAAAGCTGCAGTACTTACACGATGCTAGGGTATCCTGATGAACATGGAAGGCTCAAACTGGGACATTGAAATTATTGAAGATATTTTTTTGGCAGCTGACAGAGAACAAATCCTAAGAATCCCAATCCCCACTAACAATCATGAGGACAAGCTTATATTTATTTTTTAATGATGTGTCAAGTTATGGTTTATTATTAGTGTATAGCACCTATATAAGCGGACTTCTAAGTATCCAGCTGCAATCTTCTGACCCTGTCTTTGAATCTATTAATATAATTACAGTGAGGGGCTTTTATACTAAGCTAGGAGAGCTGTGATGGCAAACTAGGAATTTCCTACAATCTCTAGGATTCCTAAACAAGGAAACAAAACAAGTCAATCTAGGAATCCTATGACTATACTAACACAAACCCAAACCCACACCACATAGGTAAATGGTATTTTGAAAATGTTGTATATGCAATGGCATCTTTGAATGAAGAGCGAGGAAAACACAACTGTAGGAGATATACCACCTTATCAGCAGCAGCTTGTAGTGTGACATGATCCCCCACTCACCTAATCTAGCATTTATTCATGGAATAAGCAGTGAAGTTCAATTGAAGCTGACAAAAAGGCCAAACAGAAGCAATGGAAAAGGACACACACACACACACTTCAGAGCACCTACCTAGACATTTTCTTGTAGTAGTGTTTATACTTCCTTGGAACATAACATTGATATAAAGAATGATAATCCTTGAGCTGAAAGCCAAACATGCCACATGAGAAAACAAAACGTCAGGGTTTATTGATAATATCTATAATACCATATAGATGTAACTCCATCTCCATTAATTTAGATTCTTTTAGGAGTAAGTTCAGCTCTTGTACCTATTTTGTGAGGGTAACTATAAAATGCTCAACTCAAAATGCTATTGTTGTTTAATGTCTCTGGCATAATTACTATTTTTAAAAAGGAATAAGGTTCAAATTGGCCAGTGAACGTAACCTGAAAATGCAATTAGGCCACTGAACGAAAAAAAGATGCAATTAGACCACTGAACACTCAAAAACGTGCAATTAGGCCACTGAACACTCCAAATGTATGCAATTTCACCGGATAGCAGGTTACCATCAATTTTAGTAGGTTACCTGCTTACGTGGCGACTGAGTTGGCATTTTTAATAAATTTTAAATAATTTTTAATAACTTTTAATAATATTTTTTTTAATTGAAACAAAATAAATAAATATTTTTTTAAAAAAAATTAAATTTGTTTTAAAAAAAAAACTTTATTATTAAACTTTATTTAAAAAATATTTAAAATGCCAACTCAGCTGCCACATAAGCAAGTAACTTGCTAAAATTGATGGTAACCTGCTATCAGGTGAAATTGCATACATTTGGAGTGTTCAATGGCCTAATTGCATTTTTTTTTTTTTTTTCGTTCAGTGGCCTAATTGCATTTTCAAATTACGTTCAGTGGCCAATTTGAACCTTATTCCTTTTAAAAATTACAAGCTGATCAAACATACTACAAAACCTAAAGTTTCGATTTAAAAACAAATTTGAGAGATTGTAATGTTCCCCACCCTTTCTCTTGCAATTAGTCTTGTGTCTCAACATATAACAATGTAAATAACAGCTTATCTGATGAACAAAACAAAAACAGATCATTATAACTTAAGGCAAAACTAGTGCCAACCTGCTTCAAAACTTCTTTCCGCACATGTTTGTGGTAATCAGGTGACCTATACATCTGGTCTGAAAGTGCGCGAAACTAAGCAGCCGCAAAAGCAAAGACAAATTAATAACTATACAGAATATATCTTCATAATTTATAAAGAATGGACAAACCTGACAATTGCCATCCCCAGAGACCTTAACTTCATATAGATCATAGACATTCAGCCTGAAGATTGAGATATGAAAACCATTTATCAGTTATGATTCAGAAAAAATCTGTGTATTCCACAATCAAGCAAAATCAACAATTCTTTGGTGGTTTTTCCCTCATGCAACTAATTCTAGGTTCTTTATATGTCCTTGTTAAAGCATGAGAAGCATACCTCTGTGTAGCTCTCTCTCTGTCTGTGTGTCTTTAGGGTTAGTCAACCACACCTTAAATACAAGCTGGTTCTAAACTGATATGGAATGCCAATATTTAGTTTCCTAAAATATGGGATACTCAATCACACAGAATATTCTATAACAGTCCTCTTTCATAATTTCTTCTTCAACGAGTTAAATCCATCTAGAAAACTCCCAATCTTCAAATTGAAGCCAATGGAGCAAACACCAATAATATTCAAAGTTAATAACTCATACAGAATAATAACTAAGAAGTTGCACTGGAGTTTTCACCCATTTAAAGTTTATTTGAACTACTGAGGATAGTGGACTGCTCAGCACATAGAAAAAACATAAGGGTTAAGTACACTTCACTGCCTTGAAAATTGAAGCCTTTGGAGTAATAGCACTTTACCAACCTAAACCTCACCCCTTCTAACACCAAAATAATTATTATTATGAACTCTGTCCTTCAGACATTCATTGGTGCGTAGCAATTATCTCTCAAACAGTCCAAATGTAAAAGTTGTCCAAGTAATAATTATTTATTTATTTATTTGTATGCTTAAGGGGGCCAAGTGGCAATACGCCCACGCTTCAGGATGGTAAAGTGTAGTTAAAAGGTGTATTGGGTAGCAAATCATAGTTTGAACTATCTGGTCAACAATATTTACCACAACTAAACCATATTGCACTAGAGTAGTTGAAACGCCACTCTTACAAATAGCAGTACATTAGTGGTTTGAAGCAGACTACAAGTACAAACTATGAGATATACCTCTGGAGTAGCCGCTGGTGGTCTAAACTTGCATCACTTGTGTTGGGAATGTAGGTATTTATTCGTGGGATATGCTGCAATTTTCAACTGAAACATATTAAAAAAAAATTTAAAAAAACAAGGCATGACTCACATTAAGAGGCAACACCACAGTTTATCTACAATCAGCAACAACAATATTATGAAAGAGCTATAAATTTGACATGTAAAAAAAATAAAGAAAGTAGAAGCTTTAATCACTTCGAATGGTTTTTGAAGTAAATTACATGGTTTTGTAATCAATATTCATAATTATGAGGTTTAGAAGGACAGTCCCTCTTGAGGCATGGTCTTAACTGAAACTCGTGAGGGGTAAGACCTTGCAACAATGATGGACACAAAAAATAGAAGTTCATCATGGTGATACTGCATGGAATTCCTTACTATGATCCCAGATGACCATTCTTTGAGTTCAGGTGGACAGTAAAATTGCCTGAGGTAGTGTGTCAATACAATTCAGAAAAAACCATCACCATGAAGCATTGTACCTTATAACCATTCAAACTAAATATTGAGGTAATAATTATTTATAGTTTGAACAAAAAAAGATCATTTCAGGTGATATAATTCAGGGTCGGGGGTTATGCCACCCGCATTGCCCCATTGACATCCTACTTGGGTCTTTTTTATGAGAAACTAGTCTAAGTTGTTGAAAATATTCCAAAAATTTTTATAATGAAATTAAAACTCAATTTTGGAGTGTCTACAGAGATAACGAAGTGATAATGGAAAAGAGTAATTTTCAACAACATTTTTTACTTTTTTTTTTTTTATCCTTGCACGGAATTCTTCACCAATCTTCCTATCCAAATACTCATCAACAAAATGGAGTAAGTGAACGGTAGGATTGACACCTTATTGAGATAATCGGAACTATGCTTTTTCATTATAATGTTCCTAAGCAACTTTGGGGGGTGTGATACTTCACTCATGCTATATCAAGCTTTTAGCCAAAATCTCTGTAGCGCACTAGGGCATGCATGTAGGGTACTCCCATATTTAAAAAGATCTTAGGTGTTAATAACCTAAATCACAATATTTCTACACCTCCTTTGATGTAACCTTTTTAATTTGAGTCCACTCCATTCTTCTCTTTTATTCCCATTGACAAATCCAGCTTAATAGGAGAAACCACAACTATCATGGAAATACTTCCTATTCCTACCTTCTCTAAGTCATTACCTCATACTTTGCCTGGAGCATTAGTGGTTTTATTAACATGGGAAGAAATTTAAACAGTCCATGTGCATTATAATCCACTTGAGTAGTTTGGCCCAATCTTATATTACAACAATTACATTCCCAGAAATTTAAACACACAAGATAATAATATTACATCTCGGTAATCTCACTTTACCTTTCATAAAGTAATCCTCTTCTAGCGCACAGGTTAAGCCTATATTAGGCCTTTCATTATTCTTAGGAACAATGAGTGACCATTGCATTTAACATGTTTGCTCAAAGTCTCAGGAAGGTGCCTCTATGTACGGACTTGTTTGTACGATTTTTATTTTTAAATCTCTCAAAATATATGAATAACATTTTCTCTTTCAACAACCAATAACTATTAGGAGGTAAATTAGACTTTTAAAAATAAAATGCATATCAAAAAGCTACTCCAAATAGCTTTTTTATTTTCAGTTTATTTGCATCAATAAGCTAAACCAAATAGTTGTTTACCAAATACTCGTTTTAGCCATTTAACCAAGTCAAATAACTAAAGTTCGTCAAATCAACCAAAAATTGGTTGATTAGTTGTTTACCAAATACCACCAATAAAAGTTGGCTACAAATAAATCCTTCAATTATACAGAGTTAACCATAATTAGACAGTCTTATCCCAAATTCCATCGAGATTTGATGCTGTTAATAACAAAGAGACTAATCATAACTAGCTTGGTATATTTAAAGGACTATAGTCTATAGGTGACCACTTTAGTAATTAGGGGATTAAACTAGTTGAATGAGATAAATGAAAGGGATCAAACATTAAATATCCTTCAATAATATCTCTTTTGGAAACAGGGATTAGCAATCTCTAGTACAAAAACCAAATTAATAGATTAAAAAAATTCACTAACATGTATGGAAGGTATTACAGTATTAGGCCATTAGGTGCCCAATAGCATTCAATATCCAATAATTAGTTGCTAGTCCAGTCTCATTCTTATTTAATTTGATTTCCTTTGTTTAATCAAAAGTAGTATCAATTAAAACATAAATATGCATATAATTGAATAAGAACAAAAATCCAAAGATAATCCCCTTTTCCCCATTAGAAGGCAGTTAATTAAAGTGAAACTAATGGTAAGGGAAATTCACCCATGCAAAAGTAATCATTTGTTTTTACACACTAGTTAGAACAATTAAGCTAATTTTTAGTTATTTAGTGTACAATGTACTTATGTACTATCTATTGGTCAGACCTTATTTGTAAAGAAACAAGATTGTATACTTAAAACATCATTTTTGTGGCATCATACCTAAAGCAACTGCTTCCACCAACATTCTTAACCAAACTAACTCTCTACTCGCATCAACACAACCACATAAATCCCCAAATCCAATTAACTTGCATCTCATTTAGAGTGTGTTTGGCTCAAGTTATCACATTCATAGGAATCTTACGTTACCAAAGAATCTGGAGTATTAAGATTCTAAGGAATGTGACAAAAAATGAATAAAACCATTATCAGGAATCTCACATTACTTCTGGAGTTGGGATATATTTGCAAATATAAAAATATAGAGTTTATTTGCAATCTCACATTACTTTTGGGCTATATTTGCAAATATAAAAATATAGAGTTTATTTGCAAATATTTTTCTTAGATATATACAAATTTTATTGACTCCTAGTTCCATAATCAAAAGTAATACAATATAGGGGTATACATTGGAGTATATACATTGAAAATTAAAGTGGTATATAGGAGTTGGGGCAAGGAATTAGAATCCATGCTTTTAATTATTATTTTTTTTTCCAATTTTTTTAGTCATGAAATCAGTCAAACATTTCGAGGAAGTTTTAGGAAGAAAGTGTGTCCAAAACACTCTCTTAACTCTTAAGGAGTTTTCATGCATCATATCCAAAAATCTCACATTCTTGAGAATCAAACATTCTCTAAAGTAATGTGAGATTATTGAGCACAAAATGCAAACCAAATGTCCCCGAGGGCCTGAGGCAAACACACAGGAAAAAAAAAGAAAAAAAAAAAAAAAGTTACCTTCAGCTGGATGGCAATTATGGAAAACTCAATTCTTAGAGAGCACCATTAAAAAAATCATTCTAGTCATTAACGCCAATTTTAAGCTTCAACAAACACAACAAAATTAAAACCTCCAAGGCTCAAGATCTAAGTATAGTATAGCAATTAGAGCATTCAGAAATTCTGCTACTTGCTTGAAACTGTAGCAAAATTACCTTTTAGCTGGTCAATAAATAGCCTGGAGTAAGGAACACTAATTCTGGGCATCTCAATTATAGGTCCATTGTAAAAGTTATAGAAGAGAGCACTATAAATAATAGAACAAGCAATATCTAGGTGAAGCATCTTACAGGAACATGTGCCAAGTTAGAAAAACGTTGGCCATGTGAACCATCTAGTTTAGCATACTCTTCAGAAAGCACAACAGCAATCATCCTATCATCCTCAACATTTTGCTGAATGATAGAATTTGAACTGGAGCATTCACCAGTTCCTGTCATTTCCTTTCACACAATATAATCAACAACCATTTAAAGCACCAAATAAGACAATCAAAGATTAAAAAAAAGCCTACCCGAATGATTATTGACTAGCATAGGTGGGCATCTTGCATCCATGGTCAATCGATAAGTATTTGTCCTGAATGAAAATTAAATTGAATGTCTCTTCAAACTAGTATAAAAACTTGCTTCTTACTTTTCAGTATGTGTAACTGGAGAAAACAAGAAACATGATCTAGTTTAATATACCATTTCTAACCCTTGTAGCGGAGTCATGTGAAAAATTGAATGGCAAAACATGTAAAACCCCATGAATAATTAATGGAAACAACTAAAACTAGATATCGTGACATAATCTATTACCAGCATATTCTGACATATGTTTTTAACCATTATATGGACACATACACTGATTTATCGAGGACATATGTTGACAGGAAAATTGATGAACAAATTGGTTCCTTAGTAGTAACTAGTAAGAATATGAGAACATCTCCAATTTGGTAAACCAGAGAGAGCTATAAGAAAGCAGAGAAGGAAAGTGAAAATTGATTTTCAATTGTTAAATGGAGAGTTGGCAAGCATAAATATTTATTTAGCAATAATAACAGCTGTTGAAATAATAGTCATAATGTCATATAACACACAAGCTTTACTAGTCAGTCCATTGGATAAAATCCAACGGCAGATCACTGAGGCACTTTCTGTAACAGAGTGATTGTTAATTTTTACTGAGCTGACAGCTTTAATGTCACCGATACAATACTCCCCTATTATATTAGAATTAGATAGATGATATGCAGGCAGGCAGGCGAGCATTACGGTAAAAATGCTTTTAAGAAAAATTAAAAATAAAAAACAGCATCTTATCTTATATTCCTGCAATAAAACTGAAAGTGTACATGACGGAACATTTCACTTCGACAACGTGGCTGATTCTCCCAAACTCTAAATGTTGAATCAACAACTCCAATGGAGTTACTCCATTCTTTTTACTTTTGAGGCACAAACAGGACAACGATACTATTGTTTTAAGGAAAATGATTGTATGACATATCTACTACCAGAAGAATCTGAATCTGAATCAAATAAAACCCAATCCTTTGCATTAACCGCGCAATTTAAACAGGAAGCAATTCATGGTTACCTTGACATCAGAATTCCGAATCCTCAGGTAATGCCGATGCTAAAGTAAAAATAATTGTGTCCAAGGCTTGAGGAATGAGGATTGACTGAAAAAGATGGCCTTTGAGGCCCGATCACCCCGTTCAAGTCAATTCGTCGCCGCAAAAAAACTATGCAGAGATTAGAGGAGCATTATTGAGATGACATGGTCAATAAATAAAAAATAACTACATTATTTCTTTCCATATTATTTGTATACTGAAATATATATTATTTTAAAAATATATCATTTGAATATTGAAAGTATATTATTTTATATATTATTGATAAGGATATATATTCGACCCTAAGGATGTACGCCCGGTGCCCGACCGTATCGAGACCGGGTCACTATCCGACCCTTGGAAGTGAGCCCCTATCCTTCCCGACCGGTAAGGGTCAGTAGACACGGTCGACCTCCGGGCAGCAGGACACCTCGAAGAACCCGCCGGGAAGTGACCGGTTTGCTGGGCGATCCCGACCGGAGGCCCTCGGACGACTCTCGGCCAGAGGGGAGGAGGAGTCAGACCTCTAGCGCCGCGTGGCAGACGTCGACACGGCCGCAGGTAACACCCGGTGCATGCCCACCACGTGTCTAACATGCCGGAGGCCCGGCGTGACCCACCTTTCTGACCCTATAAATAGTGCATTAAATGCACCTTGAAGGGGACTTTGGGACGAGGCAAGACCAGACCTTCCCGACCCGCGTAAGAGATCCGAGCCTTGCTTACGACCGTATAAATATACCACTCAGTATAAACCGTATCATTTTGGCGCCGTCTGTGGGGATCGAACTGAAAGCCGTCCCGGTAAACACCAGACCGATCCTGAAAATGTTTCCATTCATGGACTTCAATAACGATGCGGAAGCCGAAGAGAGCTCATCGGACCTCCGATCACAGATGAATCCGCGGATGGACCTCAATACACCACCGGGCAGGGAGATGACCCCGGACCCGGTTAATTTCATTCAACCAGGAGTAGCATTCCCTGGCATCCCCGGACAAATGCCACTCCAATACCCGATGTATGCACCCGGGATGTTTGACCCGGTGTACCCATATTGGCAAAGCCCACAACGCTTCTTCGGAGCCCAATACCAGTACCCACCAGGCCCGAATGCCTACCAACCCTACATGCCCATGCCAATGCCGAATGCGCCGAACGCGCCCGAGCCGGGCCAGTCAGTGGCGTCAGCGTCAGCTGCGGCACCAGAGCTCCGGCGGGCCCAATCTGAGCGCCGACCGGCCCGGTCGAGGCTAGGACCTGGAGCGGCTCACGAGCGGGGGGCTGAAGAAGTCCCCGCGCGCATGAGTGCTTTCGTTCGTCTCCAGCCGTCTGTGCATCAGCGAATCGGAGCCCGACAAGATATGGAGGAATCTGTAAACCTCTCAGCGCCCCGACAAGAAGAGTTCGGAGAAGTCAGCAGCTGCAGATCTAGGAGAATGGCTCGACGGGCTGCTGACCGAGAGGATCCGCGAAACGAAGCTAAGGGACTGTTGCAGCAAGTCCGGGAGGAATTTAGTAAATGGAGGCGTGAGCATGGCCACCGGTCGTCCGAACCTGAAGCGCCCCTACTGCGCAACCCCTTTACGGCAGATGTAATGAGCCTCCCCTACCCTCACGACTTGCGAATACCGGGGAATAAAGGTTACGATGGAAAAACCGACCCGGAAGCACACATTAACTCCTACTATGGAAACATGCTGATGATGGGAGTAACCGACGCAGTAATGTGTCGAGCGTTTTACTCAACCTTGACAGGGAGGGCAGCAGACTGGTTCCAAACATTGGAGCCCGGTTCAATCGCCTGTTTCGCGGAGTTGGCGAAAAAGTTCGTGCACAAATTCGCCACCTCCAAAGAAGTCCGGAAACACTTCACTTACCTTGAAAAGGCCAAGCAACTAGAAGGTGAGTCCTTGACGGACTTCCTCGTCAAATGGAAGGCAGCGATCGGCGAGGTTGAACCCCTCGACGACCGGACAGCGATCAACGTGTTGCATTCCAATTTGCGTGCCGGGGCCCTATACCAAGAATTCATCCTACACCCTCCGGCTACCTACGATGAGGCAATCCGAAGGGTAACTGACTATGCTAATGCTGGTGAAGCCAATTTTGCCAAGCGCCAACAAGAGGCCGGCAGCAGCCGAAAACCGCAGGGCCGACAAGAGGAGGGGAGGACGAACAACAGATCCGGCCGAGGGCGAGGAAGAGCACCCGACTTTACCCCCTTGAACAGACCGGCAGTCGACGTCCTTCGATTTGCCCAATCTTGCAACATGATCCAGTTGCCGGAACCACAGCGCGAGGGTCGCGACAAGACAAAGTATTGCGCGTACCATCGCAGCAAAGGGCACGAAACAGAAGACTGCACGACCCTCAGGCAAGTCATAGAGGAGTTGTTACGATCGGGAAAGCTCACTGAGTTCACCAACAAGAAGGACGAGAAAAAATCGTCTTGGAAAAACCCGTTCAAGAAATCAAATAAGAACAAAAAAGACAAAGATCACGACCGGGACACCGAGCCCCGACAGTCGACTGGAAAACAAGTCATCCACGTCATATTCGGTGGCCCGGAGGAAAGTTCCATGCCCGGGAGAAATTCCAAATCGGACTAATAGGATCTGAGCCTAGTGAGAAGAGACAAAAGCTAGAACCAATCACGTTTACCCCGAGCGATATGCCGAAGGGAGAGGACTGCAAAACTGAAGCATTGGTCGTCACGATCGACATCATGGGGACCGACGTCCAACGTGTCATGGTGGACACGGGCAGCAGCGTGAATGTCTTGTACATGGACGTCTTCCAGAAGCTAAAATTAGAACCGATCGAGTTAACACCCATCGGGACCCCATTATCTGGATTCACTGGTGATACTATCCATCCGGAGGGAAAGATAACATTGCCGGTAGAAATTGGCAACCGACCCCGGACGATCAAAACCATGATGGAATTCATCGTCGTCAACCTTCGATGCGTCCACAACGCTATCTTAGGGAGACCTGCGATCGTGTCGATCGGAGGAATTATCTCCATGCCCCACTTATGCATGAAATTCCCAACCCCGAAGGAGTAGGGGTCGTCCGAGGAGACGTCCGATCAGCCCGGAAGTGCTACCAAAAGGCAATCGACAGAAAGGAGGCCTGGAATTCCCAAGTAAATTCAATCTCCAAGAAAGCGGAAGCTGAACGGAAGGAACAGCCGGAACCGTCGGATGAGGTCGAAGAGGTCCCCATACAAGCCGACCGCCCGGAAAGGACGATCCGCATTGGACGGCAGCTCCCCCCGGCGATCAAGGAAGCTGTCTTATTCGTACTAAGAGAGTTCTCAGACATCTTTGCATGGGGACCAGAGGACATGCCAGGAGTGGACCGGACAGTGATATGCCACCGATTGGCTGTCAGCCCGACAGCACGACCGGTGAAACAGAAGACAAGGCATCTCTCCAATGACCACCGGGAGTTTGTCAGAAATGAAGTCAAAACCCTCACCGAGATCGGCCACCTCCGCCCGGTCGTTTATCCCGATTGGGTCGCCAATGTTGTTTTAGTGCCCAAACCACCAACATGGCGGATGTGCATCGACTACACAGACCTGAACAAGGCATGCCCGTTGGACCCATACCCCCTACCGAGCATACACCAAATGGTCGATGACACGGCTGGGGCGGACCTCATGAGCTTCATGGACGCATTTAGAGGGTACCATCAGATTTTGATGGCCGAGGAAGATGAAGCCAAAACGTCCTTCGTGACTCCGGACGGACTCTTCTGTTATAGAGTCATGCCGTTCGGACTACGGAATGCCGGGGCCACGTATCAGAGGATGATCAACGCCTTGTTCGAAGGACAGCTTGGTCGAACGATGGAAGCGTATGTGGACGACATGCTCGTCAAAAGTAAAGATCAGACGGACCACGCGCGGGATCTTCGAGCATGTTTCGAGGTAATGCGCACCTACCGGTTGCGTCTAAACCCGGCAAAATGCACGTTTGCCGTCCAGACCGGGAAGTTTTTGGGATTCATGATGACGAAGAAGGGAATCGAACCCAACCCGGTTAAGGTAAAAGCTATATTGGATATGCAACCGCCCACCACAGTCCGGGAAGTCCAGCAACTAACCGGAAGACTGGCCGCTCTCAGTCGGTTCCTATCCAAGCTGGCGGAAAAGGCTTTACCCTTCTTCAAGACACTAAGAAAAGTCAATGGATTTGTGTGGGATGAGGAGTGCCAGGCGGCATTCAAGGAATTGAAGGAATACTTAATATCTCCGATCGTCCTTTCCAAGCCCGAACCGGGCGAAGACCTTGACCTCTACCTGGCTGCCTCTGACCGAGCTGTGAGCGCTGCGCTATGCCGCACGGATTCTGACGGTGTACAACGACCGGTATATTATGTCAGCCACGCCCTCCAAGGCCCAGAACTCAGATACTCCCGCCTCGAAAAGATGGTACTCGCCCTCTACACGACTGCAAAGAAACTCACCCCCTATTTTCAGGGCAGAGTCATCCGAGTGCTAACCGACCAACCGATCGGAGCCGTCCTTCGCACGGCTTCTTCCTCCGGCCGCCTTGTAAAATGGGCCATGATGTTAACACAGTTTTCCATTGAGTACAAGCCTCGACCGGCTATCAAGGGACAAGCGCTAGCAGACTTCGTCGCCGAATGTACAGCCAGGGAAACCCCAACCGCAGATCAGCAGGTTCAAGATGTTTCATGGTGGGAAGTCGCCACCGACGGATCAAGCAGTCGGAAAGGCTCTGGAGGAGGTGTTGTCATCACGAGCCCTGAAGGATTCAAGGTCTACTACGCTCTGATCTACCAGTTCTCTCCCACAAACAACGAGGCGGAATATGAGGCCTTCGTCGCAGGATTGCAGTTTGCAAGGGACCTCGGCGCAGAAAGCGTAAGGGCTCGAACAGACTCGTCACTGGTAGTCGGGCAAGTTTTGGGAGACTTTGAAGTCAATGGCGAACGACTAGGACGCTACCGAGATCTAGCGATCGAACGTCTAACCACTTTCATGACGTATGCAGTTCAACATGTTCCCCGGATGGACAACGCTGACGCTGACATCTCGAAGTTGAGCGTGGAAGCACCCGAGCATATCTCTCGAGT